ACACATAACATATTGGATATCCGCTGACTTTTTCTGACTCACCAAGGTGTGTATTTTACTTTGTTATTCATCCTTATCTTGCAGGGATTTCCAAATGCAACTATGACAATGTTGTTGACGAGCATTTCCAGAGGAGCCTCGGAGTGAACTACCAGAAAGCTCGCTCCCAGCAGCTCTCCATCAGCGTGTCTGTGGATGACCACTTTGCCAAGGCTTTGGGAGACAAGTGGCTGCAGATTAAAACCAAGTCTTCCTCCTGCTCTTCCACACCACCCAGCAGTCCAAGTGTCACTCACTCCCCAGCCTACAGACACAGCCCGAATCAGTCCCGCAAAGAGTCCACCAGCAGCTCATCGCCGACTTCCAGCCATTGGTCTATTAATTAAAGCCAGAAATGACCTGTGATACGGGGAAAAAACTGTGACTTTAAACATTTCACTGCGTGCAGCTCTGCTTGTTCAGCAATGGAAATGCAAACGCTAGTGTTGAGAGGGCGAGCTAACGGATGCAGGAGTGCTCTCACTGTGTGTGTGTGCGAATTTGACACATCAGACACATTGATGCAGATGAATGTAGCAATATTTGGGATGTCTGTGTTTTGTTACATTTCTATCCTCTGCGTGTCGATAGCATCTGAATACTTGAGATACTGTAGATGGTGATGCGGGTTGATTGAACAGTCCGTCAAGTAATCCTTAACATTTCTTTCATTTTGTGGCAGTCTTTTAAACGGTCTGAAGGCCACGATTTTGTTGTATTATATTTATGTACTGATAACATTTGGGTTGCTTATAGTCTACATGACTAGCCTATCTGCTGTATATTGTAATGCCTAGCAGCTGTCCAAGAGATTAAAAAAATACTGAAATAAAAAATCTCGAAATTCTTTAAATAACTTTCTGTGTTTCATTTTTAAAACTGCATCCGTCTTAACAAAAAAATTCACAAAACAACTTAATTGGAAAAAAAATGTAAAAGTAGATTGTTTTCATTCAGAAATAAAAGCAATGCATGTCAGAAAATACAAATAAAACTCCTTTTTAAACCTAAAGGTTGTGAACTAACAGACACGTTGTTAAAAATGTGCATGGTGGTGTACCAGACAACCTAATTTGAGTAGTGAGTCAGTGTGCGTCTGCAACGTGTCCGGTGCATACATGGCACTTACACTGAAAGCCACACACTGAGTGGAATTAAGTAGACGTATGAGCAACAGGTTCGGTACTTTTTCCTGTTAGTTAGCGGGAATGCAGGTTGCATGTCCCAGCAGGTAACAGGCCTTGTGTTCTGACATTCCTGTCTCCTGAGAAAATGACTCTGTAAGATCCTACAGATCCTGTTTGGCAAGGGATAGGAGGGAGGGAAGAGGGGAAGAAAGGGTTGGGCTAATATAGGCCTGAGCATGAGAACCAGCAAAGTTCTTCAGTTGCTTATTTGCAAGTCCTATCTTGTCTAACTTTAAATATGATAAGCCATATAAAAAAATTCCAAAGCCTTTCTCTTTGAAATTACTGTTGTTCAATTTTGGAAGAAGTGGGATATAACCTAAATGTTCTGACAAGTTGAAAGCCTTTGGAAGAAAGTTGTACATCAGGAAGGAGCATGAGGCCAAATGGATTCTGTTTGTATAATAAACAATATAATGAAAATCATTAAAATTGTATTAAATAATGTCAGTGGGGTGTTTGAGTAAGAATATCTGCAAAAGACCTCTTTAAATGCAACGTTCAGTAATATAAAGTTTACATTAAACATGCAGCAAGTCCTTTTCTAAAGAGCAAATAGTGATCCAACTGCTGGTTATTACTTTCCCTCATTAAGTGTTGAAACTGGTATTTCCACTCAGAGTATATCCATTATCCAGCATAACCTGTACAGGGACATTGATGCCATCTAGAGGCACTTAGGGAAACCTCAAAACAGCCGACATTGTAAATGACAAACGGTTTCATGTTGCATGGTTAACAGGACAGACAACTAAAAACTCTGCAGGTTAACTTGTTGTTGAGCGAGATTGTTGTTCCCCAACAAACGGCAACTTGAGAGAGAAAATACTTTGGTCAGCTAAACAGTAGGAGGTAACTACGTAACAGGTTTTCACATCTACTGCGCATAAACTCTCAATCCACTTCACAATACAACATATATGTTGGTTCTCGTCCACTATTTCAAGCTTAAGTCTCTTTCAATACTCAACCAAGAATTCAAGTGTCTATATACATTTATAAGTACATTGATTGATTATATTGGTTATATTTGATGCACTAAAAACTAGTTATGTGCAAGTTTATTTTATGAGTTTAATGAAATATGTTTATCTATCTGGGCACGTTTGTTTAGTACGAGTTTAAAGTTTGAGTTTAAAGGCACCCTATTATGTTTTTTGCGTTTTCCCTTTCCTGTAGTGTGTTATCAAGGTTTGTGTGCATGTAAATGGTCTCCAAAGGACAACATTCAAAATGCGAGGGACTGCTTTGTTTACTTCCGTAACATCGTGACATCACAATGTTACGCTTGCTTCTAAACGCTAGCACTCTAACACATTGTACAAAATAAGCTAAGGGGCGGGACATCTCTGCAGTTGCAGTTGACCAATCACAACAGAGCCGGACAGCTAACCAATCAGAGCAGACTAGGCTCTGGTTTCAGACGGAGAGTGAAAAGAGGAGCTGCAGCCTTGGCAGTATGTGAAAAATAAATAGCTTTTTTTTCTTTACTGTAAAGCATGTCACAGTAGTAGACGCACACAATACAATGATGTAACCTGAAAATGAGCATAATAGGGCCCCTTTAAGTGATAAAGAACAACTGGCCATGAGAATGTAAAGAGACAACTCTTCTCAAGCTGCTGCAAAACAAGTGCACATTGTTGTCTGAGTCTACAATAGAAGATAATAGTAATTCTGAATAACTCAAACAAGACAGAAAACAACATTTAAGTCAATTTTAGCGAGGCAGTAGTAATTAAAAACGCCAGTGGTACAGAAAGATGGCCAAACCCTCTGGGAAAGTTATTTTCCTTTGTCTAGTCTGTCAAAGTTAAATCACTGTCAACATACTATGAAGCATTTAGTAAATAATTGAAATTGCAGCTCTAATCTCATGAGAACATGATTGCTTGGAATGACTGTGTCTCTGTTGTGAAGAAGCATGATTCATTTTTCTAGTTCTTGTTCAACTTCTTTGTATTTAAATGATCATGGATACAAGTATGAGTTAATTGTATGTAAATTATTGTTTAGTGGGTGTTCTCCCAAGCTGGTGTGACAAAGTGACTCAAATGGCCTGTTTCAGTATAAGGGCTCTCAGTGGAAAAACCTCCAAACACTTAAGAAAGGAAAAGGAAATCACTTGGAAAAGCAGCTCAAATAATCTGCTGTAAAATCTCTACATTGCATGGTATCAGTGACTATGCATTTACAAGTAAGCCCTCTATTTGTAAGCACTTTTAAAATCACAATTTCTGTATCTGATGCCTTTGAATCTTATTTGGTCTTGGATACGTATCAGTTTTTACTTCATTTAAAAGTCAAATGGAGCCCCATGGGACATTATAAATATACTTCATTTATTATAATGTATTTAAAGCAACCAAAGAGGCCAACAGTCCAATATGGGTGCAATGCTCTATAAATGATCTTGATGTGTTACATGTGAATGGTGTTACATATATGCAGAGGTGGATAAAGTACTCAGATCCCGTACTTAAGTTAAGTAGAAATAATAATATTATTTCTTAAAATACTCCATGACAGATAAATGTCCTGAATTCAAAATTGTACTTAAATAAAAGTACAAAAGTATCAGCATCAAAATGTATTTGAAGTAGAAAAAGTACTCATTCTGCACAATGGCCCATTTCAGAAACAGGATGTGCAGAAGTATTTTCAGCTAAAGGTACTTCAAGTATGAAAAGGAAAAGTATGCAGAATGGCTCTTTCATAGCATGCTAAGCACATACAAAAAAGATTGCATGTGATGCAGGTAAAAAGTGACCGCTTTTGCCACCTTCACATTTCTTCTCAGCACTGTTGTGCGTCACTTCCATTTGCACTTGTCACATGCTTTGGAGAGGTCAAAATATTCCACACAGGTAGCACTCTTGTGCATCGGTTGAGATCATCCAACAGGCACTGAATAAATGAGTAATGAAGAGGAACTCATCAGCAGATTTGGAGGCAGTGTAGCAGTCTAGAAAAAGAGTATTTTCTGCTGACACTGAAGTCCAGTGGAGTTTCCCAGTAAAGTAAGAGAAAAATGGGGGATGACAGGTTGTTCAGTAACACACTTTGAGACAGGTACTTCACGCTCTGCTTAGCTACTCTTGCTTAATGTGCCATGCAACTTGCGTTTAGTGTGATCATATTGTAGCATATGTTTCTGTTGAGGGAATTCTTTCAACAACAACAAATACACATCCATTTAAACAAGTGTATAGCCTCAATAATTGCAATAACATTTCACACAAAAATAGTACATGTTATTTATAATACTAGGTTTGGCCAGTAGGTGGCACCATAGTGGAGGCCATGTTATTGAAATAAAAAAATAAAGATCATCACATGTGGTCACTTTAACACATTAGATCATTGTTATATTTGGGACATCAGCCCCAACTACACATGCCCATTGCTTTTCTTATTATTGACACCAACATAAGTCCAACTATACATAGTATCCAGGAATAGTATGGGAATATTACGTGACCACAACAAACCCCAATTAGCGTAAACACACTGAGAGCCTGAAATGTAGTGTCTTTAGGATATATTGAGGCAAAACAATAAACATTTCTGTTTCTCCGTGGTGGTGTGGAAAAAAAAGGTGGGGGATTTCAGGTGCATATGCAGCAAAGTAACTTAATCAAAGGCAACAGTAATTATTCCTCTGCCTACAAACAAGCTAAACATTAGCTTTAGGTCTCATGACCGACCTGGAGAGGCGTGTACTCCATAGCTCGTTATATAAAGCCGGTGCAGACTCCCCTCCTATAATAACATCCAACCTTCACTTTGCATAATAAAGCTGCTTCTCATCTCTCAGCAGGACACACGAAGTGCGTTGGACCCCAAAACACGCAGAGGTTCACTTTCGTCTCACATGTGAGTATTTTTCTCTCTCTCTCATTTTTCTTTTTTTTTGTCGCTCGATTATAATTATGCAAGAACAGCTAAGTAGATTAACATACCGCTATTTTCCATACCGATTATGAGTTTGATCAAAATAACTTAATTGTTCACTTCTATTTTTAGTTTTAAGTGGATTTATTTGTGATTAAAACTGAAATTTCAGAGGCTACTAAAGTTATGTGACGCTCAACCTGTTGCTACACGGACACATTTAGGCGCAGCCAAAACATTACACAGCCATATATTTCATATGTAACAAAGTTAAAATGGTCTGGATTAAAATTCTGCTTAAATTAAAAACACCATAGCAACGGAGGAATTAATGGAAGACAAACCCCAAGCAGCCCCTGGGAGTTCTTAAAAGACAAGGAGAAGACAGAGGTCACACATACGTGGATTCAATTAGCTAATAATGGTCTAAGATATTAGAAAATCCTATTTAATCATAATAATAACACTGGCTGGCAAATGCACTTAATCAACCCTTATAATATGACTATATTCCTTAGTATTGGAGGGAAATTAATGTTTATAAGCCTGTGAATTGCATAAGATTTGAAGATATGAATAGTATTCTTCCTAGTTTTGTGTCATGACAAGTGTTATGATTGACAAGTGAAACAGATAGCTCTACAGAAAGGTTATGCTCTAACAAAGTGATGCCAAACTTTAATGTGGCTTGTATGGTTATAAACCCCTTTATTATAACCACTTCCCTCTGCCACACAGATCATAGACCCTATCATGCCTGCAGAACAAAATGCAGCACGCTGTTTTATCCCTGTAGCTAGTTCTGGTCTTGTTAATGTGTAACCTAACTTTGTTTTTGAACCAGTAAATAAGAAGCATTAACCACTAACTCATGTGTTTGTGTTTTTACAGTGTGTATCATCAGTGGCTCGCTGTCACAATGGATGTCTCTCCCGTCTCTTTACCCTGTCATTTTATGATGAAGCCTACAGACAAACCCTACATACCTAGCTAGCAATACATTTAGATTCCTCCCCATTAAGCGCTAATAAAACTGACCTAAGGGGGAACTTTTCTTATTTATAAACAAATAATACCTCATTAGACGCCGTTAAACCAGAATAAATTGGCTTTATTTAACTCTGATTGTTTTAATTTGTTATCAATTTGAAAGTAGTAATGGATACAACCACATTAGCAACCCTGGCTGCTGCCACTACAATGGCTGTGGCCTCAGGGACCGCCATGACAGGCTACATGTGGCTGCTGGTGTTAGGCTTCATCATTGCCTTCATCCTGGCGTTCTCTGTGGGAGCCAACGACGTGGCCAACTCCTTCGGTACTGCAGTGGGCTCCGGAGTGGTTACCTTGCGTCAGGCCTGCATCCTGGCCACTATCTTTGAGACGGTGGGCTCAGTGCTGCTGGGGGCCAAAGTCAGCGAGACCATCCGGAAGGGCATCATTGACGTCAACATGTACAACGGCTCCGAACACGTCCTCATGGCAGGGTCGATAAGTGCGATGTTTGGTAAGCATTAACATACAGTAACATTACATAGGAATGCATTTAAATGGTGCTAATAAAATAAAGATATTTTTTACTAGTGAATGTTTAGACTGCGAGAACAGGCCCAGCTCATGTTTTTGTCCCACAGGCTCTGCTGTGTGGCAGCTAACTGCATCATTCCTGAAGCTCCCCATTTCTGGAACGCACTGTATTGTTGGAGCAACAATCGGCTTCTCCATGGTAGCCAAAGGTCACCAAGGGGTCAAATGGATGGAGCTTCTGCGCATTGGTGATTATTTGTTTTTGACCACAACATTGTGAAACGAGTATATGTGTTTAACCCAAACATACAAGTGTAGCCTAAAACGCATTTGTCAATGTTCTTTGAAATGTGTTTTTCAATCCAAAGTGGCGTCGTGGTTCTTGTCCCCGATGCTGTCAGGCATCATGTCAGGAGTCCTCTTCTATTTGGTTCGCAAATACATTTTGAACAAGGTAAGCACAACCCTAACACTCGAACCAGTTTACAAGATAAAGATTGATAATTTAATGTATCTATGGTGGGGCAAGTGTTAAAATCATTTTCATAAGTTAAAGTACTCCATAAGAAGCACAAGTCCTGCACTTCACATGACACTTGTATAAAAGTGTGTATAACTAATTTTCAAGATGTATTTAAAGTAATACATATAGAGGAACTCATTCTGCAGAAAAAACGGTCTCCTTGAAGTGATATATTATTAAATGACATTATTTGATTGCTAATACTGACGCAACAGTGCCCTAAGCAGCATTAAACAGCCTAAGAATGATTACCAACCAAATGGTCAAAAGAATATATCTTAGTATTGAGATAATTAATGGGGAATAAAAAACTTCTGCTAAACTTGTGGGTCTGGTTTTATTAGCCTTTTCTTGGAATCTGTGTTTCTTGTTACATACTGGATAACCTGCGTCTCTTTGGGCATGACAAATAAATAACTGAAGACATCTGAGAAGTTTAGAGGGGGAAATGTCTCTTTGTTGTAACTTCTAAAAAAATCCTGCTCTAACATATGATTTGCCCAGGCTGACCCTGTACCTAACGGACTCAGAGCTCTTCCCATCTTTTACGCCATCACTATGGGCATCAACGTCTTCTCCATCATGTTTACAGGAGCCCCAAGTAAGTACAAGGTCCACACAATACACACATGTTTCTTTTGATTCACACAGCAGATGTTGAAAGCCATGGAGCAAGATGAGGTCTGAATAAATGTCACAAGAGACACAGAAAAGAGTGGATGACAGTCTTCTTAGGACAAAGTAGGTTACGAACAAAGAGAAAACATTTAATTTGATTAATATTTTTTCGACAACATTTCATCAAGCAAAAACTTGTCCAAACTGGCATTTCTGTCTAAAGAAGTGTTCCCTAGATTATACCAGCAGTCAAACCCACATTTAAACTTGATTGCAAAAGACCAAAAACCACCCAACATAACCAAATACAGTTAAACCAGTTTAAGGGGAATTTGAGAATCATACAACTATTAAATGGACAATTTCCATTCCTTTTTGTTTCATTTGCAGGATTGAACTTATCGAGAAGACAACTGGCCTGGGCCCTTCACTGAAGGCTGCAGGCCGGTGTGTGGGTCAAGAGTTATAACACACCATTACTCCTGCTATGCAATTATACAGCGTAACACAGCAGTGCAATTCTCACACTCATACTGCAAACATGTTCCAGACAACATTTTATTTTCTGACACAGAGATAAACAGGTTCTTGTGTCAATCAAGAATATTTGTGGTTAATGGCTTCACATCCATGTTAATAATGAGAGCTACTACTTTTACTCCATGGCCTTTTTATTTGTTGTTAACCTGCTGTTGTCTACAAGAGCAAAAAGGTAAGTTGTATCTGTGAGGCAAAAACCCAATATTTTAATACTAACCTGCATTACCACATCTCATTCTAGAAATTCTAGCTATTCTGTGTTAGCATTAAAAGAAAGTGAGAGATACTAGAAGTGTCCTTACAGTGTATTTTATCTGTTGGCTGCAAGACTGGGTTTTAAACCCTATCTGATTGTAAGGCGTGTGTTTTTATACTGATACGGTTGTCTGTCAGAGTGATCTGAAATATTGGAACAGGCCTTTACGACATTTTAACCAAAACTTGGAGGAGAGGATTAGTTATTCTGGACAAAGACTTAATCTTGTTCCCTGTAAAGGTCAATATGTCAGAGACCGATTAGATGCTACAATATATGTAAAAGAAGGCAAAACAGTATAGGAGCATGCAATTACTAACAGTTTATTTTGTCATTATTATAAAAGGAGCAGTATCTGTTCTTAATAAATGAAAGAACCATTCAAGTTTATGTTTCTCCTTGTCTGAGACAGATTTTCTTTCTCATTTCCTCATTTGGTGTGCTCAGTGCTTGGTTTTGACAGAGTGCCGTGGTGGGGAACACTGTGCATTGCGTTGGGCTCTGCCTTCGCCACAGCTTTGTTCGTTTGGTTCTTTGTTTGTCCTCGTCTGAAGAAAACAATCCGACGTGAGTAAATCTTACACTTTCAGACTCTCATAAATTCACAAATGCATTTTAAATGAAAATAAAGGTTATGTTAATTGCAATGTATTCATCATACATTTAGTTATTTTTTTGAAATTGCATGAAAATTCTTAAGAAGTTTAACCCTACAAAGAGGACCTATAATGCTTTTGGGTGCCTAATGCTTATGTCCTTTACTAAAGGAGAAACAGCTGCTTCTCCTTGTGAAACACCATTAATGGAGAAGAACTCCAGCAAACCAGCGCCAGCCGAGCAGCAATCCACTCCTCAGCACCCTCAACCCCAGGCGCCTCCAGTAGAAAGTCAGAGAGTGGCTTTCAAACTGGGAGGCTCAGAGGAAGCAGATTTGGACAACAATGACATGGAAACCAAAGACTTGGATGCCAGCAATGGTGAGGAATGAATGGTTTTGAATTAATTCCCTAATAAATGTTTTTTACGAAATCTATCAAATCTCAAAATGGTTGAACTCAGATATCACATAACCAAAATAAATTCTGACTAAAGTTGAATTACAATAAACTATTTAATTCCGTAGGTGTGAATGGCACTTTCGGGCCCATGATGATCACTGATCCTCACAGTGGACGGTCCCACACCATCCACAAAGATTCAGGCCTGTACAAAGACCTACTGCAGAAACTTCACGTGTCTAAGGTTGGTGACTGCATCGGCGACAGCGATACAGAGGAGCGGCCCATCAGGAGGAACAACAGCTACACCTCCTACACCATGGCGATTTATGGCATTCAAGGAGATCCTAAAAACAAGGAGGTCGATGGTGCGTTGCAGGGAAGACCCAGAGTGGACAGTTACAGCAGCTACAGCTCGGCAGTGACCAACGGGAGTGTGGTCAAAGAGGAGAATGTGACACAAGAAGCTGGCCCTGAGCCTGCTTTTGAAGAAGATGAGCTAGAGCTCGACCAACCAGCTGTCGCCATGCTTTTCAAGTTCCTGCAGATACTCACAGCGTGCTTTGGCTCTTTCGCTCACGGAGGGAACGATGTCAGGTAGGGTTAGTTTCTCCTGAGATTTTTCTATGTGCTGTTTATTCAGATGAGTTAAATAAGCCGTTTTCATCATTAGCAATGCGATTGGTCCACTGGTGGCTCTCTGGCTTCTGTATGAGAGCGGCTCTGTGATGTCCAACGCACCAACACCTATCTGGTTGCTTCTTTACGGCGGAGTGGGCATCTGCGCTGGACTTTGGGTATGGGGACGCAGAGTGATGCAGACCCTGGGCAAAGACCTTACACCCATTACCCCCTCCAGGTTTGCCACTCATTTACATACAGTGACAACTGAAATGATGATATATTTGACAGTCAAAATGTACTGATATGTTTTTTTTTGTGATTTAGTGGATTCAGCATTGAGCTAGCTTCAGCGCTCACAGTTGTTGTGGCATCAAATGTTGGTCTTCCCGTCAGCACAACCCACTGCAAGGTAGTGAAACTCTAAACTCCGATAATTCAACCTCAATCTTCAAATTTGATTTCCATTCTTGGGGTCACAATTCGTTTTATCAACAACTCTCGAGTAATTTCAAAGGGGCGATCATTTCCAATGTGTTCAAGTCGTGCACTTACAAACATGTGTATAAGGAGTTATTATAATTTAATGATATTAACTAAAAAAAACAAGATTTATTGTACTGCTAAGCTTAAAACAAGCAGCACAAATAAACACTTTTTACTAAAACGTTTTCTAATATTTCTTAATTCTCATTGACTTCAAGAATAACAAATTCAAGTTTTTTATATAAAAATACCGTCTGCTAAATCAATACTATTGGAAGATATCATATGCCGCCTTTCTTAGTTTCTCAGTAGTTGGCACATTTAAAACTATATTTTACTCAAAGGAGCACTGTAAAACTGGTTTTACAAGTGATTTCTTAACAAACCACAAAATATAGCTTGACACGACTCAGATAAAATTTGATATAATTCAAATAAAACCTGCTCTCTTGGCTTACTGTTTCAATATTAACATAATTTCCTGTTTATAAATTGACAAATACGTTTAAATGTATCAAATGTATTAAGCAACAACTTCTGCAAACATATTTGTACTTATCAGTACAAATCACATCTGACTAATATCATGCAAACACAGGTGGGATCTGTGGTGGCTGTGGGATGGCTGCGCTCCAGGAAATCAGTGGACTGGCGTCTGTTCAGGAACATCTTCATTGCCTGGTTCGTCACGGTTCCTATCTCCGGGCTTATCAGCGCTGCCATCATGGCTCTCTTCATACATGTCATTCTGTGAGCTGCTCAGCTGCACACTTTTTGTAAGACTGACTGATAAAACTGTGTTAAAAAAGATATTCCACCTGGTCTATTAAAATTATGTTTATAATAATATTTCTTTTCAAGGTGGAGCCAATGATTTTATCTCATAGAAATGTGTCCATGAATGATGTAGGATCAAATGCCACTGTTCACTTTTATAATATCCTGTGATTTTGTTTATCCCGATGTATATTTGTATAAAAACAATGTGTATTAAAAATCAGATAATTCAATTTTGACTGAAAAATAAACAACGGTTTGCATTATTTTAATGTAATAAAACGAGTTGCTTGATTTGAAGGATTTTAATGTAAATTTCTCACTATTAAACATTTTCTACTGAATCCTATTTAGTTTGTGGGTGAGATGGGTTATTTAAAGCAGCACACAAATATATTGACAAAGATTCATTGTTCTTAAATACCCCCCCAAAGGATTAAAGGTTTTATATTTTCAAAAGAAATAGTGTCAATATTAGTTTACTTTGAAAAATAAAAATTACCCTCAGCAATACAAAGCGCAAAAAAATATACAGTATATACTTTTCTGAAATAATTTCTATTGAAGTTTATTTTCATTAAACAAAAATGTTTAAATTCATCGTATAAGCCTGAGGCCTCCTCAAACACAATAATAAAGGTCACATTATTGATAAAATGCGTGTTTTCTGAATGGATATCGGACCAATCAGGCTAGGCTAAGCTACTTTTGTAGCGGCTCCGTCCACACAGTAACCTCAGACATGAATAAAGCAGCAAATTATTAAAGAATTAAAAAGGAAACTTTTTGAAATTGCGGTTTTGTGTAAGTTTAAATGATCTATGGCACATAGAATGTTTATTAAGGTATGATGCAAATTCAGAATAAAATAATACAATTGATCAAATGCTTGTGCACTTACATTGCATTATTTTAGTTAAATTAGTGAAATTCTAAATTTGGCTCACGTGGCGTAATTTGAGGTGTCTGTTGGACATTATATTTTGATGTTATAAAATGTGTCTATTCAATACCATACTATGCACACAAACTTTCTTTTTTTTTTTGCACTGTTGACTGCGCATTTGATATTGATGGTTAAATTAGTTAATGCTTCACATGTACTGAGTTCTGCACATGCCATTTAAATGTAGAAATGCCTTTGTTAATACAATGTTAATACAATATATGCACTGCTATGTTGTACTACTTTACTGTATCTGTAGCTACAAATGTGATTGCTCAAATTTCTTGACATGTTATTCCTGGCCCCTTATTTTGGATAATCTTCATCAACCGGCCCCCATACCAAACTAATTGAATAGCCCTGCCCAAGACTATTAGGAAACGTAACAGTCTCCCATAAAGAACTGTATTTAATCAAAGGAAATTAAAACAAATGCTATGTAAAACATCAACCTTTAAAAACTGAAGAAATAGCTACATATGTTTTGACTTTTTATTCAAATCATTTTTTTGCAGTTGAATGTTGTTTGTAAAGTGGGAATTGTGGGCTCTCCACTTAAATCTGCAACTCAATAAAATAAAATGCATTTAGGTGGTTCTTCATCAAGTCCACGTGGAAGTTTGTGAAAATTGAAGAAATAAACTTTAAGCAGTCTAGAAATAGCAATTAAGCTCTAACCTGAAGAGCCAATACATTATACACAAATGTGGAAGCGCCCTAGAGGCGGAAGAGCATAAGGTGGCGCAGTGGTCTGTGCGTTTGATCATCAGATCAAGGGGGTGTTGGGGAACTCCAGTTCAAAACCCACTCCTGCCCCACTGCTTCAGGCCGTTGTGTCCTTGGGCAAGACACTTCGGCATTGGGTATTGTCCACAGTACATGTATAATATCAATGTGTACTTGTAAAAGCGCCTCGATGACTTTGAGGTGTGAAGATGGGCGGTGTGGCGCAGTGCATTGATCAAGTAGGTGAAACCTGCCACCGCTGCGTCTATAAAGCCATTGTGTCCTTGGGCAAGACACTTCACCTGAACTTGCTCCTGTGGGTATTGTCCACAGTACATGTATAATATCAATGTGTACTTGTAAAAGCGCCTCGATGACTTTGAGGTGTGAAGATGGGCGGTGTGGCGCAGTGCATTGATCAAGTAGGTGAAACCTGCCACTGCTGCGTCTATAAAGCCATTGTGTCCTTGGGCAAGACACTTCACCTGAACTTGCTCCTGTGGGTATTGTCCACAGTAGATGACCATTACATGTATGTATGATCTGTATATGTAATGTGTAATTCAAAAGCTACCGTGCAGCATACAAAGTAATTAAAACTAGCTGCACCTTTACCAGCTTTGATAAACACATTAATGCATCAATAATTGTTAGAAAAATATATCATTTATATCATGCTAAAATGTGCCAATCACCATGAGTAGTTTCATTTTTGTTCTTTTAGTTTATTTTGATAGTTTCATTTTTGTAAGCAGTCTAGAACTAGCAATCAAGCTAGCTAGCTAACCTGAAATACTGCTACGTGTTCCCGGGGGAAATGCGATATATACAGCTCGGAAAATTCAATCAAATGGTGCACAACATCTGCAACGCAAGGAAATAAATCAAATAAAAATGAATATAGGCGGTTCGTCCTCAATTCCAAGAAGTTTGTGAAAATTGAAGAAATTCCCTTTTTTCCTATTTCTGTGATAACGAGTTAAATACAGCTCAATACATTCAAATCAAAGTTTTCACAACAAATAAAATAAGGTACAAGAAAAAATAAGAAAAACAAAATGAACACTTAAAACAAAATAAAAAATGTAAAATTAAATCCAAAGGAAACTTCTAGTTCGAACGCTTATGTTCCAGCGC